GAAGGAGATCAGAAGATGGTTCGCTATGTCCTCACGTGCAGCTTTTGTTCCGGCTTTCGGTATTGTTAGGTCTGTTCCCACTTGTGTTTGAGAACGGAGAGTCCAGGTTCTCATACGTCTTAGCCCCTTACTCCGTTATCATTTCATGTCTTCTTGTGTGTTTCGGAGTTGTTGTCTTCAACGGTTTTTGGTTGTATAACGACATTTCAGTATCAATCATAGCCCTCATTAACATACCAACTTTTTTTGCGCTATATATTACATCAGTAATCGATGCCTACAGTAATGCATCAAAATATGGAAACTTGTGTAAAGATCTAAACATGATCGACACACAACTTTCTGCCATTGGAGTTCTAAAGGTCCATCGCCTCGATTGGTCCACTAGGTTCTTAATAATTTTAATGACTTCTATTTATTTATTGTCAGCAGCATTGGTCCCAAATGCATTTCTCTTGTACCGTTTCATAGTTCTCACAAGTTACACCCTCATCTGCTCTCAGATCATAGCTATTGGACGCCACATCCTCAGCCGCTACGATCTGGTTGTGTACACCCTCGCCCAGCTGAAGAACACACAGCACAACATTAATAATAAAATGGAGACCCTTCTAGCTGTTAACCATCAGCTGTCCAGGGTTGTGGATATATTTTCTTCCTGCTACAGATTACAACTCTTGGCATTGACAAATTACACCTTTTTTATCGTTTCTTCTCGGCTTTATTACATTTTGTTTTTTATCCATTTCGATTACGAGGAAATGCTTTATGTCTTTCTTTCCATTTATTTAGCCAGTATTGTCTGTGTTAACTTTTTGAGAATTACTGGATGTCTGTCTTCAATAATGAATAAGGTAAACATATTTTTTATTATCTTCGATGTTTATGAATTAAATAGATTATATACGGTTCTCAGCTGTTGTTAAAGCAACATTAATGCTCTATATAACGATGGCTCAATTTAAAATTGAAACAACTCAAAAATAAAAATAGTTTCTAATTTTCTTCTGATACCTACAACCAGTAAACTCTTCTTCATTGTACAAAACCAAGGACTATAAAACTATCTTAATTAATTTTTTAATTTGTATTGCCAATTTTAATTTTTAATGAGGTATAATCCGTGATACAGAATACTTTTTATTGAATTATTAACATCCGGCTGAAACTTCGTAAATATTTTCATCTCATCGTAACCTACAACAATTTTATTTACGAACACTCTTGTAATTGGCTCGTTTTCAATCTGGAGGGGGAGGCAAACTTTGTCTATTCAATTAGGTACTAAAATCTCGTAAGTAGCCAATTGTTTTCTAGTTGAATCGTAAGATAATTTGATCAGAAAATCGATGACAATGGTTCCCTACAGAAATATTGAGCCGTTTGTCCTATATAACCCCGTTATTTTGAAAATTTGGGGATGTAGGTCACGCGGAACGTAATCGTATCTCCAACATAATCTTATTGCCGTATTTTGGTATCTTAATCCTTAAGACTCGGCATTACTGCCAGGCTAGTGCGTATACAAATGCGATAATACATCGCAAAATACCTAATATATTATACATTTTTGGAACAGTTATATTTTAGTTTTTTTTTACAAAAAATAAATAAATGAATATTTACTCAATTAACATTTGAAAGGAGTTAACTGTTGAGAAAAAATAAAATGAGTTTACTCGGGCGTAAACAGAAGGTGTTTGACTAGGCTTTTGTTCGGCAGCAGAAGACCGAGGAGTTGAGTCTAACAACTGACTTCTCTTATATTATACATATGGCTTGATAGCAATATCGTATTAATATATATATATATATATATATATATATATATGGGCCGGGATAGACGTACGGGCTAAAGCGCTTGCAATAGGTAATCAAAGTTAAGCTACTTTGAGCGTGGTCAGTACTTGGATGGGTGATCGCCCGATTTGGGTGACCGCCCTCCACGGAAAAACACGTTGCCTCCCCCCCCCCTCGGCCCCTCGGGTATGTGAGACCCGTCAGTCTATTGGAGGCAACTCACGCCGCAAGGAGGTGAATGACCCTGAGGTGGACATAGCTCCTGATCCTCCAGGTCGGGAGTTGGGCATAGGGCTAAAACCCTGTCCCGTCAAAACCGCCTTATCTAGAAACCTAAAACTAGATTCGGAAAATCTGATTGTCTTAACGCGTTAACGACTCCGGCTTTGTATAACGGGCTCCATATCGGATCACGGAATGTTCGGAGCTAATACAGACTAGGAGCCGCCCAAACGGTAGTCAATGAAGCAAAAAGGTACAACATAACGTTAACAGCCATTCAAGAGGTAAGGTGGCCAGATGGTGGGGAAACCACTATAGACGGCTACACTCTATTCTACACCGGTAGAAACGACACAAATGGGACAGCTGGCACTAGATTTATAGTTAATCCGGCCGCAAGGAAGTCAGTAATAAACTTCACCCCATTTAATGAAAGTCGTTGGTTCAATATCAAGATTATTAACGAGTTTGCACCCAACCGAAGAAAAAGAGGATGAGGTGAAAGACGATTTCTAAGATCAGTTAGAAAAAGTTGTGGACCAGGCACTAAGACATGTCATAAAATTAGTCATGGGAGACTTCAATGCCAAGATAGGTCGAGAAAACCAATTTAAGCCCATCATCGGAGGCCAAAGTTTCCACGAAACTAGTAATGACAATGGAGTGAGATGCATTAGTCTGGCAGCAGCTAAAGGTCTAGTAGTAAGCAGTACGATGTTCCTGCACAAGGACAAAAGTATACCTGGGTAAGTCCTAAAGGAGCAAAAAGCCAAATCGACAATGTGCTGATAGACAAGAGGCATCAAAGCTCCATACAAGACATAAGGAGTTATCGTGGAGCAGACTGTGATTCGGATCATACTCTGATTAGAATTAAACTCTGTCAGAGGCTCAAGCGAATCCACCGAATTGAGAACCAAGTAGAAAGACAGAGGTACGAAGTCCGTTATTTGAAAAACCCTATAGTACAAGCTGAATTTCAAATTGAGCTGAAAAATAAATTTGAACCCTTGAACTCGGAAAGTCTCACGGTTGAACAACACTGGAAGGCACTAGAGCCAGGGCTAAACCAAACAGCTAAGAAAGTAATAGGGATTCAGGAAAATAGAAAACCCAAGAAATGGTTCACAGAAGCATGCGAAAAGGCAGTGTAGGAAAGAAGAAAGGTTCTCTGCTTACAAACTGATCAAGCTATGCTGGACAAATACACAGCCGCCAGGAAATAGACAAACAAAATAATAAGAACAGCCAAAAGAGAATTCCTCAAAGAAAGATTACAAACTATTAAGGAAAACTGGCAGGCTGAAAATATATGCGAATTCTTCGCGATATCTAGAAAGAAAGGGTAGGATATTGCTATGTATTGTAAAGACCGCCGGTGGAATAATTATTTTAAATGTATAAATAAACATCATAAGTGGTTCACATCTGGCGGTACCTGACCGAAGGTAACGACCCACAAGCCCAACCTTTTGTAAGTGGTAATAAAAACCTTTAAGAACCACCGACAAAGACCGACAAGTGTTTAAACCTGTAAACACTTAAAGTCTGTACCTGCTGCTTTACCTTGGCCTGGGGGAGAGGGCGTGGTCATCCCTTAGGCTGAGAATATTCAGCCAATCAGGAAAAAGACTACCAAAAGAGAGGGGGATGAAGGAAGGTGGGAAATAGAGAATTTGGACTGGGCACTTCTTCTTGGGAGACGGAGGAGAACACTTCTTCTGGGGACTTCAAGCGGGGGAGTCGAGGGAGGAAGACGAAGACAGCCGGAGAGAGGAGATGGACGGACTAGACGCTGAAGGAGAGCAGAGACAGGGAATCCAGATATGACGGCTAGAAACACTATGAAGGACCAGCTAAGTGGTAACAAGCATTTAGTTATACTAATGTAAATTTGTGTTGGGAACCATACATCATTAATTAATATAATCAATAAAACACGTAACTTTAATCAAATATCAAGCATTCTCCTCCAGTATGATTCTTAAATATTCATTATGTATAAAGGTTTAGTTATTATTTTGTATATAGATGTTTTTGGTTTTATTTAAGCTTGTAAATATAATAGTTAGTAAACCAACGTAGTACTTTTACATTCTACCTTGCATGCCACCAATTAGTAATAGAAACAAATAGTAAATTTATAAACATGATACCTTTAGAAAGGAAATCCGATAAAAATTATATGGTTCAATCTAGGATACCACAGTAGGGGGTCTGTGGTATCTAACATTTCAATACAAATATAAGTATTAAATACATTTTAATACGAATAAATGCGATTCCTGGAACCCCTTACTCGCCGTAGAAACGCGAGGCCAGGAACATAGCAATATTAAGCGAGAAATACACAAATGCGAGGGAAAGATGGCAAATTGACAGCATCAAAAGAAAAGATCCTAAGCATCTGGAAGGAACACTTTCAGCAGCTGCTTAACCAAGGGCACCCCAAAAACATGGACCACACTGTGGAAATCGCCCCACTTGAGGTTGGAAAAACAGATATTCTGGATGTGGAAATATCTATCGGCAGGCTTAAAAGAAGAAAGGCTCCAGGGATAGACAACCTACCATCAGAATTGTTCACGGATGGGGGAGAAGAACTCAGAGCCAAGTTGTTAGATCTAATCCAGAAGATATGGGAGAAAGAACGGAGAGGTGAAGCGCTCTAGGTGAGGACATATAGACGAGTTTACCTTAGTAATTCGAAAAACGAAAGACATATTTGCGAACGAAGTCACGGGTAATAACACGTTGCCAACAAAACTCAATCGCATTAATGCTTACAATAATAGCGGTATTAGACATTTCATTGATCCATTCGCTTTTCGTTTCTGCATGGCGATATCATCATCCATCAAGTAATAAATAGGTAAATATTAGACGCCATAGTCCACACTGTTTTGTCAGTAGACAGCTATAATTTCAAAAGTCGATAACATTATTCTAGGTTCAGTTTCTTGAAGAGCTTACATCAGATGGAGTCAATAAGAAGAATAGAGAAACCAAGAAGAAGAGGATTGGAAGGTGGTTCGCTATGTCCTCACTTACAGCTAATGTTTCGGCTGTCGGCATTGTTAGGTCTGTCCCCACTTGTGTTTGAGAACGGAAAGTCCAGGTTCTCATACGTCCTAGCCCCTTACTCCGTTATCATTTCATGTCTTCTTGTGCGCTTCAACGGTAATTGGTTGTATAATGATATTTCAGTAGCAATCATAGCCCTCATTAACATACCAACTTATTTTGCGCTATATATTTCATCAGTAATCGATGCCTACAGTAATGCATCAAAATATGGAATCTTGTTTAAAGATCTAAACATGATCGACACACAACTTTCTGCCATTGCAGTTCTAAAGGCCCATCGCCTCGATTGGTCCACTAGGTTCTTAATGATATTAATGACTTCTATTTATTTATTGTCAGCAGGATTGGTCCCAAATGCATTTCTCTTGTACCGTTTCATGGTTCTCACAAGTTACACCCTCATCTGCTCTCAGATCATAGCTATCGGAAGCCACATCCTCAGCCGCTACGATCTGGTTGTGCACACCCTCGACCAGCTGAAGAACACACAGCACAACATTAATAATAAAGTGGAGACCCTTCTAGCTGTTAACCATCAGCTGTCCAGGGTTGTGGATATATTTTCTTCTTGCTACAGATTACAACTCTTGGCATTGACAAATTACACCTTTTTTATCGTTTCCTCACGGCTTTATTACATTTTGTTTTTTGTCCATTTCAATTACGTGGAAATGCTTTATGTCTTTTTTCCGTTTATTTAGCCAGTTATGTCTGTGTTGACTTTTTGAGAATTACTGGATGTCTGTCTTCAATAATGAATAAGTAAACATATTTTTTATTATCTTCTATGTTTGTGACTTAAATAGATTATATACGGTTCTCTGCTGTTGTTAAAGCAACATTAATCCTGCATATGACGATGGCTCAATTCAAAATGGAAACAACTTAAAAATCAATAGTTTCCAATTTTCTTCTGATACCTACATCTTGTAAACTTTTCTTCATTGTACAAAACCAATTTCAGATTGAAATAATGAAATACCTGAGGTAAAGCGTTCTTGGTGAGGACATAGAGACGAGTTTACCTTAGCCATTTGACAAATGAAAGGCTAAAGGGTTAAAAATTGGATTTCAACGAAAAAGATATGGGCTTAAAATAATTTCGGAAAGTAGACAATTAACTTTGGCAAAAATCTCGAAAATAATAACATTAATTAATTAACTTAATTTATTTAATGTTATCGTGTTGATAAGAACGAAGGTTTCGTTTGTAAATAAAAATTTAATCAATGTAAAGATATATTTGCAAGTCACGGGTAATAACACGTTGCCAACAAAACTCTATCGCATTAATGCATACAATAATACTCGTGTTCTAAGTTTCATTGGTCCGCCCACTTTTCTTTTCTACATGGCGGTATTCTAATCCATCAAGGAATAAATAGGTAAATATTAGACGTCATACACCACACTGTTTTAGACAGCTATAATTTAAAAAGTCGATAACATTATTCTAGGTTCAGTTCCTTGAAAAGCTTATATAAGATGGAGTCAATAAGAAGAATAAAGAAACCAAGAAGAAGAGGATTGGAAGATGGTTTGCTATGTCCTCACGTTCAGCTAGTGTTCCGGCTGTCTTCTTTGTTAGGTCTGTCTCCGCTGGTGTTCGAGAAGGGAGAGTCCAGGTTCTCATACGTCCTAGCCCCTTACTCGGTTATCATATTATGTGTTATTGTGTATTTTGGCGTTCTTACCTTCAACCGTTTGTGGCTCTATAACGATGTTTCATTAGCAATCATATCACTGATTAACATACCAGTGTATTTTGCGCTATATATTTCATCAGTAATCGATGCCTACAGTAATGCATCAAAATATGGAAACTTGTTTAAAGATCTAAACATGATCGATACAAAACTTTCTGCCATTGGAGTTCTAAAATTCCATCGCCTCGATTGGTCCACTAGGTTCTTAATGATTTTAATGACTTCTGTTCAGTTTGCGTTAGCAGCATTGGAACCAAATTGCTTTCTCTTGTACCGTTTCATACTTCTCACAAGTCACACCCTCATCTCCTCTCAGATCGCCGCAGTTGGATGCCATATCCTCAGCCGCTACGATCTGGTCGTGCACACCCTCGGCCAGCTCAAGAACAGACCGCACAACATTAATAATAAAGTAGAAACCCTTCTAGCTGTTAACCATCAGCTGTCCAGGGTTGTGGATACATTTGCTTCCTGCTACAGATTGCAACTCTTGGTATTGTCCACGTTCACCTTTTTTATCGTTTCTTCACGGCTTTATTATATGTTGTACTTTATCGATTTTAATTACCACAACATGTTTTTTTTCGTTTTTGCCATTTCCACAGCCTGTTTTGTCGGTGTAAGTTTTTTAAGAATTATTGGATGTTTGTCTACAATAATGAATAAGGTAAAAGTATCAACTTTATTATCTACCATCTTTTTGCCTTCTATAAATTATTAAATCTAAAAACTGAGGAAAATTTATTAGTGCATACATAACCAAAAGTATTGAATACATAATAGTTGACCGTTGATTAAGTAAGAAGACGGTTCGGGGTGGCGGTCATAAATAGACTATATAGTGGCAAAACTATTTTAATTAATAGTCAACGTTCCGACTGGACTTTGCAGGTTCTCTTCAGGGCTAGAACGTACAAGATACAAAAAGATATAGAGAATTGTGGAAGTTACATCATATTTAGATTTAAAAAATTTAAACAATGTGAATAAACTTATTAAAATTATAAACAGTAAGTACATTAAAATATTAAGAACAATAAGTTTCATAAACAGAGTAAGCTAAGTAACAAGGTCCTCAACTGAATTAAATAGATGATAACAATTGTAGTATAATATGAAATATAATATATGCAATTGTGAATATACTCCTACAGATCTACAGGAGAGATTTGAAGAAAAGGAAAAAGGAAATATGATATCATGTACATAAAGGGATGTGGAGAAAGAAAAGAAAAACAAAAAATGAATTTGTATTCATTTTGCTTTTTAACCATTATATCTCAATATTATCTAATATATAAATGAAATTTTCTTATATATGTACAACTAAGTATAATTATAATTATTCATATTCTATGTACGTTTTACTTCTTTCATTTTTGTTTTTATTCACATTGTACTCCTATCTATAATTTCTTAATTCTATGTTATATGTATATGCATATATTTATAATTTATTATTTCATAGATATAGTATTTTCCTTTGTATCCATCCATATATTCAAATTTTAGATACTGTAATTTTGGGGGTTTTCTTTTACTTTCAGATAGATAGACAGAAAATAACTTTATTTGGGGACACAGTCCCTTGAGAATAACAAAATAGAACAAAATTAAAAGATTACATCTGGCCAAAATAAAATCAATAGAAAAAAAAAATAATGTAAAGAAAATATAAGGTAAATATTCTATATACAAAACAAACGAAACTATATACAAAACAATTAACACAATGGCAAGACACTTAAAGCTATTTGTACTGATAGACCAGTATACACTATTAAGAAAACAATAAAGAATTAAAATGTATTAAATTCTTCATTAAAATAAGCTTTGTGTTTCTGTTGAGAAAACAGAAAGCTGAACTTGACAATACATGATTATTTAAATGGTTAGCAACTATCTGACTGTTTTTGGGATAGGAATTGGAATAGGAGGGTTTTGAATGTGGAATTGGATGGGGAATGTCGAATTTTGATAGGGAGGGAATTACAGAAATTGACAGAGGGAGCAATAAAGAAGTTTTGGAATGAGGCTGATATGTGAGAAGGCATGTAAAGGTTAGAAGGTCGAGATCTTGTGGGCAGGGAATGGACTGAGGATTTGAACTGGTTGCAGGCGTAAGAAGGACGATGATTGTTGATGATTTGGTATAGAAACGTACCTAGGAAATATTGTCTTCGGAAGGAGAGGAAAAGCTAATTAAACTCAGCGTAGTGGTGAGGGACATGGGAGTATCTTGGGCCCCGATCACAAATCCTACGCAGCTGTTCATTAATCTTTTAAGTCTACCACGGAGCTCCACAGAGAGGCCATCATACACCACACACCTGTAGTCAAAGTGGGAGAAAAAGAGAGAGGAAACTAGGAGTCTACGCGTATGTTGAGGTAAGAGATGGCGGAAGCGATGGAATAGTTTGAAGATGGAAATTGTCCGTCGAGAGATATGAGAAATGTGGTGATTCCATAAGAGGTTTTGATCAACGAAAAATCCTAAATTTTTAACAGATGAGTAGAAGGAGATTGGCTGGTCATTAAGGTGTAATATGGGAAAGTCGGTATGGGATCTAAGAAGGGGCTCGGAACCAATGACAATGTTTTATCATCTTTTACACGATGACAATCTTTTGCTACATACCTCCTCACCATTTCCCAACCAGGTCAGCAAATTCCCCAATACTTCCCTTGGTTTTCCAGTTCTAACACCATGCTGAAAAAAACCTGTAAGTCTCTATTTTTGTTAATCTAATTTTATTTACTTAAGTTTTATTTTTGTTTTTCTTCTTTTTTATTTTCTTTCTCCACACCCCTTTATGTCCATTATTTCATATTATATCCTTTTTCCTTTTCTTCCAATCTCTCTTGTAGATCTGTAGGAGTATATTCACAAATAGAAATATAATGTTTCATATTATACATTGTTCTTAATGTACTTACTGTTTATTTTAATAAGTTTATTCACATTGTTTAAATTTTTTTATCAAAATATGATGTAACCTTCACAATTCTCTTTATGTTTTTGTATCTTGTCCGTTCTAGCCCTGAAGAAGATCTACAAAGTCGGGTCGAAACGTTGGCTTTTAATAAAATAGTTTTGCCACTATTTAGTCTATTTATGACCGCCACCTTAGACTATCTTCTTCCTGCATACATAACCAAAAGTAGTTGATATAATATGATACAATTGATTCTGAACCATTTGTACATTCGTCCATAAGTTTTTTTATAGATTTGAGTCTAATCAGATAAGCAATTTTAGAAATTTAGACATGTCAAAGAAGATAAATTATCATTATTTTAGTGATCGTCTATACTTGATGGCCGACTATTAGTGAAGAGGGTCCAACATCAGGTTGTCGAACCACAAAACCAGTGTTTCATTGGTCTCCGCTTTTTATAAGTAGGAGCAGGTTCTCATATTCAGGACAATTAGGTGACTATGCATAAGCAATCTGACAGGTTGCTGTGCTAATAACCTAAATGAACTGGTATAACTAGTAGGCCCGTGAGAAAAATTCGCACAGCATATTGTTATCAAATGCCAAATTAATAAGAAAAGAAAATACTGTAAGGTATCATAAGATAAAGGAATCAATCGTTACTTTATCGATAAATATAACCGACAAAAAAACAAGAATTAATTTAGAACTTCATTAATGTTTGGAACCAACACGTTTACAAATTTCAATAAGTAGCATATTTGCTAAAAATAGTCCGAATTCGATGATTTTTTCTCCTTTTGTAGGGAATTTACAAACAATTTATATAATCATGGATATAACCCAGGGAAAAGTGTAAAATATTAGTTATTCGCAAATAAAGTTTCTTTTCTTTCATAACTTGTTTGGCTGAATATTCGGGGTGATTGGACTATTTTGCCAGCCTGAAGGAGAAGGAAGCCTTCGAAATTGGTGGCTCAATCTTGGAATTCGGTGAAGAATTAACCATGATGTGGCTTGCCGATCAAAAACACCATCGATAAATAATATAAATTCCTCCTCTCTCGATCGTAGAGGCCTCAAGTCGAAGGAATGAGATCTGTATCCAATGACAGTACAACAACTAATGTAAGGTTATGTGGATGCGAACCTTTTGCCTTGCGTTATCTCGAAAGTACGTTTTTGGGCTTCACAATGCTGTACGCAGCAAAATCTTCAAGGTCCAATTTGTTCCGTATCTATCTTGCCATCGTTTCAGTATTGAAGTCTAGCAAAATGTTTATATCGACTTTATTTATTTTAGAAAGAAAACCAAAAGCGGAAAATGCGAACGCTAACTCCCCGTGGAATTCTGAATCCAACGGTACCCCATTCATGGTATTTGAGCATAACAGGAGCTTATATTTGGTACAAAACCGATTTCGAGCCTTACTGTAATAATATATGTGTGGAGTGGGGATGGGGATTCGACATTTTGTAGTCTATAATTGATATAGGTAGTCAGCTACAATGGAAAATATAGGGCAATAAAATATGAAATTATACTCAGAAATCGTAAAGAAATTATTAGTTTTTATGCTCTCCTGTAAAAATTCTCACATACGACCTTTTGCACTAACAGACCGATATGTATGTTCAGTATACACGGAAATTATTTGTTTTAATCATGAATTATCAAATATGCAAACTGCAAATTCGGAACTCTTGAGCATTTTAGCATTCGCTGATGAACAAAACTCGTGGATATCAAACACGTATATGTTGAGGGATCACTGAATTTCCAAAAACGGCTTCTCTCAGATATTTTATTCATAGGAAAAAAATTAGATCTTAGGGCCGGGGTGGCAGAATGAGCTAACGTATATCCACAGCACAGCGGGTTTCTCGGCAAACAGATAAACGAAGTTTTGAGTTAAAAAAAAAAAAAAGGAATGAGTTAGCGTCCCGGTGCTGAAGTTGATTTTAAATTCGCCACCCTCACCCTCCGGTCTGGGAAAATCTCTCATAGCCTAAAAGGCGAGGTAGGGAAGAAGAAAAATTTAATAAAATTTAGTTGATTATATTAGTTTTGAATTCTGTGGGGCAGTATTCTAATCCATCAAGTAATAAATACTTGAATATTAGATGTCAGACGACACTGTTTTATCAGTGGACAGCTATAATTTAAAAAGTCGATAACAGTATTCTAGGTTCAGTTTCTTGAAGAGCTTACATCAGATGGAATCAATAAGAAGAATACAGAAACCAAGAAGGAGATTGGAAGGTGGTCTGCCATGTCCTCACGTTCAGCTAGTGTTCCGGCTGTCTTCTTTGTTAGGTCTGTCTCCGCTGGTGTTCGAGAAGGGAGAGTCCAGGTTCTCATACGTCCTAGCCCCTTACTCGGTTATCATATTATGTGTTATTGTGTATTTTGGCGTTCTGACCTTCAACCGTTTGTGGCTGTTTAACGACATTTCAGTAGCAATCATATCACTGATTAACATACCAATGTATTTTTCACTATATATTTCATCAGTAATCGATGCCTACACTAATGCATCAAAATATGGAAACTTGTTTAAAGACCTAAACATGATCAACACAAAACTTTCTGCCATTGGAGTTCTAAAGGTGCATCGCCTAGATTGGTCCACTAGGTTCTTAATGATTTTAATGACTTCTGTTTATTTTATGTTAGCAGCATTGGGACCAAACACATTTATCTTGTACCGTTTAATAGGAATCGTTAGTTACACCTTCATCTCCTCTCAGATTATCGCAGTTGGACGCCACATCCTCAGCCGCTACGATCTGGTTGTGCACACCCTCTGCCAGCTGAAGAACACACCACACAACATCAATAATAAAGTGGAGACCCTTCTAGCTGTTAACCATCAGCTGTCCAGGGTTGTGGATAAGTTTTCTTCCTGCTACAGATTACAACTCTTGGCATTGACAATTTACACATTTTTTATCATTTCTTCCCGGCTTTATTACATTTTGTTTTTTATCCATTTCGATTACCCGGAAATACTTTATGTTTTCTATTCTATTTATTTCGCCAGTTTTGTGTGTATTATCTTATTGACTATTACTGGGTGCTTGTCTTCAATAATGAATAAGGTAAAAGTAGGTTTTATTATGTTTATACCTAAAATAAACTATATACGGTTCTTTGCTGTTGTAAAAGCAACATTAATCATGCATATAACGATGGCTCAATTCAAAATTGGAACAACTCAAAAATCAATGGTTTTCAATTTTCTTTTGGTACCTACGACCTGTAAAATCTTCTTTATTGTACAAAACCAAGGTCTATAAAACTATCTAAATTAATTTTTAATTTGTATTACCTATTAGTCCGTTGTACAGAGCACTTTTTATCGAATTCTTAACATCCGCCTGAAACTTCGTAAATAGTTTCATCTCGTTATAGCCTACAACTATTTTGAATTGGGACATTTTTAATCTGAAGGGAGGCAAAATTTGTCTATTTAATTAGGTTATAAAAACTCGTAAATACCTATTTTCTTTCTACTTGGATCGTACGATAATTTGATCACAAAATCGATGAAAAATGTGGCCTACAGAAATATTGGACCGTTTGTCCTATATAACCCCGTTATTTTGAAAATTTGGGGGTGTATGTCACTCCAAATGGACCAATATTTTTTAAGGGCACCTTTTTTCTCGATTTTGTGATCAAATTGCCTTATGATCCAAGTAGAAAGCAAATTGGTATAGACAAAGTTTGTCCCCCTCCAGATTAAAAATGACCCAATTCCGAGAATGTTCGTAAATAATATATTTGTAGATTACGATGAGATTAAGTTATTTTCGAAGTTTCATCCAGATATTAATAATTCGATAAAAAGGGATCTGTACCTCGGACCACTAATGTTATAGGCCATGTTACAAAACTGCACAAGTTCAAAATACCTTCAGTATCATTGTAAAAGTTGATGTTTTACTATGGAAGATTTCGTTTAATTTTGTTCAAAACATTTGAGTTCGTTTATCTCATAATCTTGAGTTTTGAGTTGTTTTAGTTTAAAACTGAGCTTTCGATATGGAAAGTAGTCAATAGAAAGTTAAAATGGATTATGAACTATTTTTACATTCTTTCGTAATGCTCCTCTAGCTTAGATTCAAACCAGATGAGCAATTTTGGAAATCTAGACATGTTAAGGAAAATAAATGATAATTCTTTCTGGCTTTACAAAATTATTGTATACTGCTAGATGACCGCTGAGGCTGTGGGACAAATTTCGGTACTTGTGAAGGACGTGGTCTCTATGGACTGTTATCTGCCAATATTTAGTTGTCAAATTATGAGACCACCCATAAATTAATTTTAATGCGGTAGAAAAGGTAATCTTCGACTCCTCTAACCACGTTCCTCTTCTTATAGATACGTTTTTCTTACAACTCTTACGAAAGCATCTCCATTTCATCTTCCCGTCGAACTTCATCACAATATTTCACCTTCGCAATTATCCCAGCGTCCTAAATTTTATAGCCTCTTGTTCTAAAAACGAATAACGCACAATCAACTAAGTTAAATCAATAAACGCACACGCAACAGCTTACATTAGATAAAAAGGCAGGTTATGTGACGTAACATAAGATAAGAAGGTGACGTAAGATAAGATAAGAAGGGAGGTTTACCGGAGACCACGTAGGTCACAAGTACCCGAATTTCAATCTAGTAAGACAAAATTATAGAAGCCATGTTATTGGCAATGAAATATTTCCTATTTGAAATTCATCCAAAATCATTATATAAATAGACAAACGCGAAACGGTTCAGCCCCTTTTCCTCCTTAATTATTCAACCGATTTTCTTCCTTCTTTTTTTGTCTAATAGCTATTGACGAACTTTAGTGTTATCAATCAATAAAAATATGAAACGGTATATGTAAATAAGAATATAAATGGTAGTTTGTTCGAAACAGCTAATCTCCGAAAGTCTTCACGGATTTCTTTGAAATTTTGACACAATGTCGCAATAATATTTAGGAATATTTTTGCATAAATTTCTTTCGACATGGCGGCCAAAAACCATGATTCCCTTTAACACATAAGCAACAGATTTTAATGAAACTTGGCTAAAGTTGGTTCCCTTGAAACCATCATTATTTATGTATATAACATACCTTCCCGAAAACTTCAGAATTTCAGAATTTTATTTGCAAATAAATCAAAAAGTATACAATTTTTTATTGTTAACACCCATATTTATTTGAAAACTTCTTGAATTCCCTACAAAATAAAAGAAATGCCATCAAAATTGATAAGAATTATCTCGAAAATAAAAAAAATTGTAGCGGTCATAGGAGTAAAGTGGGTTCAAACATTATTTTTAAGGAGAAACAAAGTTGAGATATGTATATCACACCATGATAAACCATCAAATACCAATTTTCACTGGAATCCAAAATTAATTTTTTTTGCCTCAAATTTTCTCAAGCCTTCGATTTTATTTCGGAAATCACAAAAAGTGTGATAACTTAATCATGGCTCCCCCTATGTGCATAATTTTTGATTGATGATACCCATATTTATTTGAAAGCTTCTTGAATTCCCGACATAATGAAAAAAAGAAAATCTTCAAAATCACATTATTTGTTACAGGGTTATTAAGTTTTAAACAATTAGTAATTTTTCTTTTGAAAATACAATTAAAATATGGATTATCTTTATTTTGGTATTTGATAAATCGAAAAATTTATGTTTACTGAAGTTATTGAGATTATTATATGAAGAAATATCATTGAAAGTTAGTGGAATGTCACGTTAAAAAGTAAATTCTATAGTTATGCTCATTTGTAACTTAAATACTGCACAAGCTATAGTTAATGGACCACGAATGAGAGTGAAGTATTAACGGAAGCTGCTGTAAATAAAAGAATTTTAATTTCACAAATTAATTAAACATTTTCAGGAACAATACTTCCAACCAAATTTCAAATAAGACAGTTCCCAGTAATAACTGCATTTGCAAGACCATATACAAATTTTAGTGTGAAATTTTTGGAAATATTCGAGTATTATTGCGAAGTCCAGTTTTTGACATGGACAATTATATGCGGCAGCAAGTAGAGCACGTATATTTAAATGTTTGAAATTTTATATTCCCAATAGCAATGAGCAACAATAAGAACATTGTGTATAGAGAAGTTCTACATAAAAATTGATTTAAACTGAATTGAAATTGCTATTTTTAAATTGCTTAATCATAACATTAATTTATTGTGAAAATAACATACATAAACATAAATGGAAATTAAATATTTTGGAATCAGTCCATTTTCGTATTACTTATAAATAATTTTAAGTAGTTTAAGCTTGATTTTTAATTGAAATTGAAATTTTGTTTTTATTAATAAATAAGGATTTTTAAATCGTGATTTACTATTTTTTTTATTTAATTATATGTTATCCTCAAATTTTCAAAATGGTCGAATTTGGACCACTAGGTGAATCTCGGTAATCTATTATTTTCAGAAAATGTCATTGAATGGTTTTTAAACCAACAGCTAAAGAAAACACTGACCCGTTCTTGCATAAAATGTGTTTAATCAATTGGTTGACAGGTATATTGTTTTGAAAATTTGTTTGATCTATTGAGAGCCTTGTGAAATTTGAATTAATAATGATACAATTATTTAATTTTAGTTGGTAAGTTTTGATTCACATGTTTCAGTCGCAGAAGTTCGATCTCCTCCTCTACCAGCTCATGATTAGCGATGAGGACTTTGGATTACTTGATAACGTAAAGAGTCAATAGATTAAAGTTTAAATATTTTTACTCTACCTTCATACCAATTATTACTAATAATTTTACAGCCAAAGTTAAAACTTCATATCGCAAAGAAAAAGAATGTGACCATCACAGCTTGTGACTTCTTCAGGTTGGACTTCTCCCTGGTCCTAGCGGTGAGCAGCTAACATATATTTCATAATATATTTTAACGTGACTAATTAACTGATAGTACTTTAGAAGAAGCTAATACTGAAAAATACCCACTTAGGCCCTGTTAGAGAACATTAATGAGAATTAGTGTTGCACAAATGAGAGACCGAGACAAGTCTTAGTCTTGCAAACTCAGTCTTGGTCATGATATTGGTCTTGCAGTTACTTATTACTATAGAGATATTACTGCAATTTTTTAGATAGGAGATACCTAACTAAGCCCAAATGAAAAATTAGAGGAGTTAAATGCAAAAGTCTATTGGTTATACCAATTATTTACATACAGAAGCAACTTGGATCAAGCAGGTGGCTTTACTTCTCTTTTCACTCTTATCCTAAAAAGGAGAACTGATTGGTGCCTAATCAGTTCGAAACTCCTAGGCACCAAACATTTGTGTGTTTTTTTGTAGGCATATGTAATCATTGCCAGTGTATAACAGCATGATTATCTTTTGAATATGATAAGATAGAATTGTCGCAAGGTATGGCTGAACCTAATTTATAGGAGGATATAGATTAGTGTAGTGTATATTGTTCCTGGAAATACGTGGAAATGGCATGTCCCAGAGACCATTCGGCAATGACCAGCTTCTCTTTGAAGTTGTTAGCGTCATAAATTCTAGTGCCTTCACTCCAGACCCCATTGGCTTTCAATGCAAGTATAGCGGCTAGGACAGAAGCACTGTGATCTCCTGGAGATGGGAAACCCTGGAACCACAAGGTGTCTCTCCTCATATGAATATGTAACAATTATTTTACTTCTTTTATTTCTTCCTTTCTTTAATTATGTGTGCTTATTTTCTCTTTATGGCATCAAAGACTTATAGAAAGAGATGCGCAGTTGGAATCAATGATTAAATGAATAAAACTGAAAATAAAACTTAATAACCATGCTGGTTTTATACTTTAATAGCACTACAAATATTACCTAATTACAAAACATAATTGCAATCGTGATCAAGTAATAAAAATCATTGTAATCATAATCATGTAATCAAAATTACTGTAATAATAATCGTTGATTATGATTATGCCCATCTATGTTAATATATAACTCTAATATCTATTGTGGTACAGTATAGAAGAAACCATTTTTTTTCTCATTAAAATAAAAATATCAGTTTATCTATCAATTTAAGCTATAACATAGAAGTTAACAATACCAAACAATATCTTTTTTTGTTTTTAGTCTCTTTGTTATTAATATCTTATTAAATGTGATGTTTTATATCTTATTCCACAGATGGCAGCCTCTGTGAGCACTTACCTAGTCATGTTTGTTCAATTTGACCGTCCCATAGTTTCTCGAAATTGATTCTTCACTTCAGCAGATCTTATAGATGTGCGATAATCATAGTAAATATTTTTGGTTGAAATTAGGAATTTCTAGTAGATTAAATCAAATTGTAATAAAAAGTAAAACAAGCTGAAAAAAATATATACATATTAAAGTTGTTTTCATTTCCTACTTACTTTTAATTTTGTAAAACTGTATGTACAATCTGTGATAATAACAAAAAGTTATCAGTTATATGAGTAAATCTAACAATATAAATAAAATAGGAGTAAAGAATGATTGAGGTGATAAGTCAAGTAAAAATAAATGAATATATTTATTTTTTTATTATAAGTATATTTATTTTTACCTTTTTTTTTTACTAATCACCCAAACCATACTTCTCTTCAATTATTCACCACAGTCAATCATTGTAAGCAAAATAGTGGTATAGGTATGGAAAAGAGTAATGGGAGAAAGATGAGTAAGGTGAAAAATAAATGATAAATAATAGAACGCACCTATTCGCTCGAAGAGTATGGGAGAAGTAGTAACAATGGAAGCAACAATATTGCTATATGTAAGGGTTTAGCGCTGTGAATCGTAAAATAAAGAGGGAACGCAGATACGTATATGATGCTTCAGAAGTTGACGATGAATACTATGTAAAGTGTATATTATATAAATGTGTATGGAAATAGCACAGAGACAATGCATATTTTATGATAAATATTAAATAATGGTCAAATATTTATGGAATTAATGTAAATGTGCTATGAAATTAAAGAACAATGAAAATAATTGTCAAGATTTATGGAAAGAGTTGTCACAAAAAAGATTCCATGCTTCGTTCGCATCACGTTCATATTGTATACCGCTTAGTGCGTTCCATCCCAAACTGCTATTCTTCTTATATTGGTGAAGCCAAAGATCTCCTAAAAGACCGCATCACCCAGAATAAATATTCTGTACCGTAAGTGCCTATAAACTGTCTCAACAATCACTCTCCATAAACTACATATTTAATTTCGACAAAACTTCCATTCTAACCTCAGTTTCCAACCTTGGAAAATCACTCATCTCTAAAAGCATCTATATGCAGCTTGAATCTTAATCAGTTAATCTAAAAACAGAAAAACAAAACTTATCCATGACCTATTCCCAAATACTAAAACATTCATAGCTCTTTCACAACCTTGATAATCTTTGCCTCACAACCATAGTTTTCAATGTTCTTATAGTTCCAGATATTCATCTGTCTTGTTTTAATTTACTGCTTATAGCCTGAGAGACTTTATCTTTGTTTCTTAAAATATACATCATTGTCGATAGAAGAATATTAAAATGTTTTGATACGATTTTTTTTTAACCACCTGGTATGGCTCCAATATATTATTATTTCTTTATGGAAAGAGACCTTCTCAGAAATACTTTCAAAATCAAACTTAAACATAACACCACATTATATGAAAAGAGAGTGCTGCAATACAAAGGAAATTCATAGAAATCGTAATCGCCCACTCACTCTCCTCTCTTAAAAATATTAAGACCCAACTAGATTTTTTTTTAATTCAAAATATAAGACCTTCGAAATACTATGAAGAGGAATTCAAATCACCGAGGGAGGCCAAATTATAATTGTTTATAGATTTAGAGGAAAAAAAAAAAAAATGGCTAATTCTACATGATAATAGGCAGATATGCTGTTGAATTTGTATTTCAGGCATGAGGAAGGATAGCATTTAAGCAGAAACTCTCCTGGTCTATGCTTACTTTCTTAATTCAAAAAAGATCACTGATCCAGCTCCTTTTCAGTCGCTTCCAGATGGGCATGTCATTTTTAAGTTTTTTGTTATATCCGTATACTTTAATATGAAATCAGGTTGATAGTTTTAAATTAGTATTAAAACTTTAACTTTGTGGTTTATATAGCAAAGAGCTGCTGTTATTAGTCTTAAAATTTGGGATTGAAAATATTCTATTTTTGGCAACATTTTTTTTGTTGAACTGTAAATCTGTCAGAGATATGTCCATATGGATTAAAGTAGTTATATGTATGTATCTAGTTTATGTCTGATTTTCAATTTTGATTTGAAATAAAGAGTACAGTATTATTAGTCATTTTATAAAAGCATTTTTTTCCCATTTCGACCTGCGGAGCCCTTTCTGGGTCCCTTGGACTAATATTCTTCTATTGAATGTTAGTTCAAGGTAATATACTGTGTCAGTCTGAGAAATTTGATTAAAAAATAATTTCTTTTGTAGGAATAAAACACAAATAGTATGTAGTAAAAGAGTATATTTTAAACTATAGTTTATTATAATAATTAGAATCGATGTCTTACTTGTATCCTTATTAAGTCTATAACTACCCGAATACAAATGAATGCTTCCAGCGCATGGAACACAGAATGGAAGACAAGAGAAGACAGCATTCAAATCTACTGATAGCTGTCATCATCATCTGAATTATTTAGACTTAGATCTGCAAACTGCTCTTCGAGACCAGCGTAATAATATAGCGAGGAGTCCAGCGAGCTCCGCCGCTCCAGTTCGGGGCTTAGGTCATCCAGGTGATATTCATCATCGTGCCGTCCCTTGTCACCTTCAGACAGCCTTCTAGGAGGGGCGTTGGGGTCTCGTAACCCAGCAACTCCTGTACATTACAAATCTTTGAAAAAATAAGTTCATAGCAAGTTTCTAAAAGTATGATTCAAGTGATAAAGATTGTATATAAGATAGAGATTGAAATTTGAATAGTAAAAAAAGGTTTATATTTAAATAAAAACTTGAAATAACAGGTTGTCTGGAAGCTGTGGTTGGGACTGGATGAGGGGTCAAAGTCCACCTAACATGACGTGTTTCGTTACCAAATACAATATTTTCAACGTCAGCTCATTTTTAGATTAAATGTTCTTTCATTTTATTGTAGAGAACAGTACTCATTATTTCTTTTCAACATTACTTTTTTTTAAGTAGTCTATTTATTACCTATTTAAAAAAATAATATTGAAAAGAAATAATGAGTACTTTTTTAAATAGTCTATTTGTTACCTATTTACACAACGCCGAATTGCGTGAACTGTATCCGGGTAATATAATTGAGGTAATTTCATTGCGGCGAATCAAATGGGCTTGTAAAGTTGTTGGGATTAGTAACAAGAGAATTCCTAAAAGGTTAATATTTGCTGTGCAGAATGGTAAGCGTCTGAGGGGTAGACCGAAGCGAAGGTGGGAAGATTGCATTAAAGCCGATCTGAAGGGACTGGATTTGGACGGCGAATGGTGGAGGGAGGTGTGTAATAAGCGATTGGTGGTGTCGGCATCGAACCTTCGGGTTCGCTAAGCCTTTTATTATTATTATTATCATTATTATTATTATTATTATTTATTACCTATACTGTTCTTTTCATCTTGTGTGTTTATGTTTTTTATTCTCTACCCTTCCCACGAAAGGAAGATAATTTATTTAAAATATATTTCTATTTTAAAACATTAGAGTATATATATATTTATACCGTAACATA